GGTTCGCGTCCATCATGACTTAAACCTTATTGTTATTTTCACCGCCACTGCAAAATTTGACGAGAAGACTGTAAAAATCTTGGATGTTGCATCATTTTGAGAGAACAACGAGAAGTTAAAATGCAATAGATAGTATGTATACCTCATTCTGTTAACGTAAAAGCGGTTTCTTTAAGTTGTAAGCAAGTCAACATCTGGTCGAACTGGTAGTAAAAACACTACGAAGAACATATATATCCGCGCTTTGCTCTCAAATTTGAAACGACTTTCCTGCTGTGAACTTCAAGACAATCAATTTCACAATGAATTTGTGGTGCTGTGTGTCGGTTTCATCAGTTTTGCTGATTCTATCTCCAATATTTGCTGCCGAAGAGGGTGAGTTATTCGATATTATGATTTAATTAAATTTCCTTTTTATACTTATTTGCATTACAACTGGTGGAGCAAACGCTGATCAGATTTCTCATCCAGAGACACCTTTATTTTTCATCCCTAGTGCAGTTTTTCGATATTCTTCATCTCATTAGTTTGATTTTTCCCTACTTTTTCTTCAGTAGGATTCTCTCTGGTTGAGAGTGCATTCTGTTAGTCTACTTAATTGTGACCTGAAATGTGTGCATTTTCCGTCTAAGTAACAGAAATTAACATTATAACGTTTGCTTGTTAGCATTACTTTTAGTCTGTTACATTTCAGTACTGGCTTTTATTCCCTTGCTTGAAATGGTTGTAATGTGAAAGCCGTTTGCATCATCAATGCGCTTTTATGCGCTCAGTAGACTGATTACTTGCATCAAAGATCATGATCTTTGCTTGCATATTATACGCGAGGCTCGATGGTGATATGCCAATTAGGTGCTTTACATTGTAAAAGTGACGCTCGAAATTTAATTTCTTTCATGTACAGGCTGCTATGCTAAGCTATTCGCCATCTTTTTAAACAAAAAATTGCATTTTATTAGCCATAAGTACAGCGTTTTATTACAGAATTTCCTCCGACTTTTTATTTCATTTATTACTTTATTATCACAAACATTGTTTAAACTATTTGCGTCCAGTTAACAAATTCGTGTGGGTACGACCTGGTCACTATGCCATTCAGTCATAATATGATAATATATTTATTTTTTGTGTACTTTATTTCGTTTTCTTTGTTACAATTTTTTGTTAATTGTGAACTGAGAGTCTCAAGATCAATCTTGATCAGATTATTAATATGATAAATTTGGAAGTTAGTCAAGGATAGTGTAAATGTTTCGGTGTAATGGCAATTATAATAAACCGATACAACGAAATATCAAAGGATCCTCAGTATTACAATCACTTTTAACAACATTTTATTTTAATCTTACATAATACATTTCATAGTTATCAAAAATGCATCAAATTCAGGTCTTGGGCATTGAGATAATGCTCTTAATCTTGTTCCCAATGATCTTGGTGCATGAATAACCATTTTCACATGTTTTGATCAAAGTCCATGTGGTCGCCAAACATGCATCAAATTCATGTGTTGGTCATTGAGATTATGCCCTTGGTCTTTTTCCCAACGATCTTGGTGCATAAATAACGATTTTGACATGTTTTGATCAAAATCCATGTGGTTGTCAAAAATGCATCAAATTTATGTCTTCGGCATTGAGATAATGCTCTTAGTTCTTTCCCAGCGATCTTGGTGCATAAATCACGATATCGACATGTTTTGATCAAAATCCACGTTGTCCCCAAAAATGCATCAAATTAACGTCTTGGGCATTGAGATAGTGCTCCTAGTCTTTTTCCCAACGATCTTGGTGCATAAATAACGATTTTGTCATATTTTGATCAAAATCCATGTGGTCTCAGAAAAATAATTTAACATCTTTGAATCACACACATGCGGTTATTTAATGTGCACGCGATGTACTCTTTCCTCATCAAAATAATGCGTTTGAAAGCTTTTACAACTCCAAAGTCACATGTGTAAAGAATAATTTTGGGTACATTTCGCTCTAAAACTTTGACCTAGACCTAGGTCACAGAGAAGAGTTACATCGCATTGTTACACTTTAAGAGTCATAGAGTAATCTAGCGAAAGTCCGAACTCGATACGTCCTGTTTCCTATTTACTCGAAGTCCTCCTATACCTTTTGTTCCTGTTGAACCTGCTTTCTGAAAATCAATAGCGTCCGTCCTTAATGCCCAAAGTACCCGTACACCAAATTTCAACACAATCGGCCACTTTTAAAAAGAGTTATATGTTATAGCGCACACGGACGGACGGACGACAATACAAACGTATCACCAATATAGACAACGAGCAACAAGGTCACTTCCGGTTGACAAGTATTGGCCAAAATTTAGTCCCTTGACCATTGTCTACCTATTACTCAAAACAGAACTGGAAAATTCGAAACCGTTCATGAGTTATCATGTACACAGACGGACGGACGGACGGATAGAAAGTCCAAAATCATAAATCCGTTTTTTGCCGCTCGTTAATAAATGTGTCGAACACTAACTAGTGTTAGCTAATTAGCTACTCTTCCCACTCAACCCACTATACAATCACAAACAGCCATGCCTTACCCGGGATTCGAACCCTGGACCCTTGTAGCCAAACTTAGAGCTATTAATGTAAACTCATCTGACCTCAATTATTTTTTTTTATTCCCAACAGACAGTGGGCTTCAAAATCCTTAAATTCCGAACGGACTGTAACCCAATTTTGACTAACACTCAAAATGACTTTTGGGCGAGAATCCACTAAAATTAACCGTAATTTTAACATGAAACTTCTCTGTTCGTCTTTAATGAAGGGTTCGAATTAACACATAACTTGTGCGAAATTATACAGATAATTTTTAATTTCCACACCCACAAGATAATCAGTACAGTACATATTATAAACTACCAACTAAAACTTAAAATTACTTAGTTTTTTTCTTCGAGGCGAAATATCCAAATGAGGTTCGTACACACAAATCACTAATTAAATTAACTGAGACCACAGACAACTTGGGTCTTCGGCTTCTTCTCTCCGACGTAATTGTAGTAAAGTTTATCCTTATTGTACTTTAACGCAATACGCACCAAACTTGGAACCGCCGTCCTCTTTCGAGAACAGCACAAACGAAATCCAGACCGGCCTTTAAGTGACAAACAAATCTCCAACTCTTCTTCAACGCGCAACGTAGTCGGCCACGAAACTGGGCGAAATTAAACTCCTCATTCTCTTCTAACGAGCGGCACTGGAAACTGGCCAACAGACTTCTAACAAACCAACCGAAAACTTGGGATCGAAAGTTTGTTTTTTTTGTTCAATGAAAATTTCTCTTGTTTCGAGTTAACCGATGATCAAAATTTTGATAAATCAGCGTTGAGATTTTCCATCGCTTCGTAACCCAGCTGGACCCTAAGATTCAATCAAAAATAAAGTTTATTTATTTAATAAATTTATTTGAAGGGGTATGTTACAAGGTTACATTTGTGTAATTTGGAGCTAGCTAGTTAAGCGTATAGCCATAATTTTGGCGCCCAACGTGGGGCACAGCATTTATTTTTTTACGTCCGAATGAAGGGTCACTGCCAATATAATGGAGAATATGTATGAAATGACTAGATTATTACATTTCAAATAAAAAGTGGTTCACCAACCGACACTGAAAACTTCGATTTACCCGGTATGCAACAATTACATGCAGCGAGGCTTGGTTCCAAACCGAAAAGCCAGGGGGAAAAACCAGCAAGAAAATCCTAGCATGACAAACACAGATGCAAGAAATAAATGAACTGCACCAACAAAGTACAAACCGAAATACGAAATAAAACATATCTCAAATCGTAGATTACAGGGTTGCAAATGCTTGATATTTTGTTAAATTTTTTTAGAGGACTCCCAGCCTATCAATGAATTTATTTTTTTGTCGTCGCGTTTGTGAACTTTGCGCCGCAGTGGCTTTGCACTGAATTAATCTCCCTGCTTAATCCCCACTTTTTCCAATTTTACACATACGCTCTCAAAATGGTTGTTATTCGGTTTCAGCGGTCATCTTTATTCCTTCTACCAATCCTCTGTTTTGAACATCAATTGCCAGAAACCTCGGCGTCAGCTTTTTTTTGCAAGTTCTGTCAGAATCCACACCAGACTCTTACCAAATAGATATCTGACGCGATATTAATGACTTTTACGTTACCAAACGGATGGTTCATATCGTCACGACACAGCGTGAGAACCGCGAAGGTAGCAATTTTAACCTCCAAAGGTTTCTGCATAATGGTCTGTCGAAACATGGGATTGGTCAGAGAAGACAAAGTTAATGGACTGAACAAGTAAAGATGTCCGCTGTAGCCTATTAACCTCCATTTTGAAGAAGTGGTTGTAAAAATTGAGAAAGTGAGGATTAAAAAGAGGGAGGCTTTCGGGTGCATTAAGCTGGTTAAGCCACGTTGGGTTTTGCGAAATTATTTTATGGTCGTGAAATAGTACGGTTACAAAAGGTTTCCACGCCAAGTCAGGTAAACGCGATAAGCGAAAATTAATCACGGTCGAGTGCAAGTGCGTGACATACTCGTACTTTCATTGGCATAATAATAATGTAATTTTTCCATTGATCCGGGGGGGAGGGGGGGGGGGAAACAAAAATCTTCTGGAGAGTTCTCGAACAAACCCATAGTATTCCCCGGAAAGAATGCGTCACATCCGCCTTCACCGTTGACTAATCTTTTAAGGAATGGCGCTCTAGATTTCTACAATATTCGCTACAATATCAGTTGGTTTCCCAGTTATTACTCAGAATTTGAAATTACATTAAACCCAATCGATAATTTTGGGAGTTTTTGGTGCGCGGTTATTTTTTAGTTAGCGTTAGTTAAGGTAGGCCAGAAGAGCAATCGAATTTTCCAGTTTTTTAATTTTCTTTGGTTAAGGAATATAATCGCAATCATTATGAACAAAACGGCACTAAGGTGTGCTATAAAATAAAATTTATATGCGACACTAACTTCACATTTGTGTTTTTCAGAAACAGCACAAAAAGTACTCCTGACACCCGGTATGTAGTACATTCTTGTCTGGAAAGAAGTAATATCAAACTAACTAAAAAGGCCCAGCATTAATAATTAACAATTTTAACAGCTATTTGAGTTATGCCATTCACAATGTGCTTGAGGTCATCACTCGCAATAACTTTGGTCTTATACTATAAATGTATTGATCATTATTACTAACGGGTGAGAAATGGTGGAAATTTGGAACACTGAATATATCTTCAAAACTACAATTTATGGTATCCAAAATTATAAAAAGTTTGCTACCAATCTAGGTACTTTAAATTTGTAGTCAGTGGCGTACTTCTGCATTGTCAAGGGGGCATATTTTTTTAATGGCAAGCACTAGTTTTTATTGCCTATTATTAAAACATACACTTTTTTGGATTTAGCATCATAAAAGGTACTTCGTTTTTATCTGAAATTTTATTGAATAGGTCAATACTTTTTAGAAATGAAATCAGTCGATGAATAATCCGTGTGTTTTGTATATGGCTCACTGCATGTACTTTCGCACCCAACTAACATATTTTTTTGGTTTTGATTTGGTTTGGACCAGTGGTCATTCAACCAGCCTCGTTATAGTGTTTTTCTACTTTAAGAGTGATAGAAAAATTTGGTCAAACATGAATTGAACATTGCTTGGATGACGATGGAAGTGAGCCTGGTGATATACATATGTATTGTATGTTCCACCAGACACAAATCAAACACACCCTGCGCTAAATTCCAGGTGACCCTACTAAACCGCGCTGTCCGCACGCTAATTGCCACGAACAACCAACTTTCCACTACTTTAATTTTTAGCTTCCTAGCATGTACTAGGTAGCTATTGCGATAGCCGTTTTTTGAACATTTCAAAATTTCATCAAATGTCGACGTTTTAGACCATTTTAAGCAACTTTTAAAGAATAAAATTTTTTTCCGTCTGTACGTACGTACGTTTGTTGGCAATTTTCTGAGAAAACGGCTCGACGGATTTTGTTGAAATTTTGTATATATGTTTTAGGCATACCGAACAGAAAAATAACGGGCCGGATTTTTAAAAAGAAATTTTAGAGCGCCGTAACGGCATCGAACTTTTTTTTTCAAATAGCAACCTAAAATTTTTATTCTATTATTTGGAAGACCTTATTTTCCTGTGTACAACCTACAAAAAATTGGGCCGGGTTATATTATCAAAAAACGGAGAAAAAAATTGTCAAAGTCAAAAAATTGTGTTGCATATGTGCAAAACGCAACGATCTTGTTTCTGAAGCAATTTAAACGAAATTTCTATGGTAAGTCCCTTTAATAAAATCAAACAAAATTCATGCGCAAAAATCGTGTTGCGCAGGCGCAGAAATGCAATGTTCTTATTTATGGAACATTAGCTTTTCTCTTCATAGCATGAGCTAGGTACAATGCGAAATTTCATCAAATGTTGACGTTTTAGATCATTTTAAGCAACTTTTAAAGAATAAATTTTTCCCGTCTGTAAGTGCGTACATATGTTGGCAATTTTTGGTTTCAGCTAGGAAGCTATTCTGTCAAGAATTTGACACCTGGTTTTTAGTGACACCCATTTCGGGACCTAACAATTTCCACCAATAAAACTAATGTTACACAACCAATCAGATCAATCATTGACTTGAATATTGTTGAGAAATACGGACAGTAGCGCGAAGTTAAGTTTTATCATTGTAATATATTTTAAAGGAAATCGACTTACAAGAAATGTGCCATATTCTTGACAGAACAGCTTCCTACTCACACCAAAAATCGCGCTTTTGGAAGAGCGTCTTTAAAAAATGGTAAGTGTAGGGAAAAAACGTTTCCCACGAAAGTTTATTATTTTCCAATGTCGAACAAGAATATTCAATAAACAGTATAGGGGTCTACTTGAAAAAATTAAGTTGCCCTACACTTTACCTTTAAGGGACCGTTATGTGAAAGTGCATGTCATCATTATGTGGGACACCCTGTACTGTATATAAATTAATTATGTGACATTTAAACTACGGAACTGGTAGACGCAAAGTGTACTGCAACTTAGAAAGGAAATGACCGCTACACCCCAATTCATCTCGGTGATGCAGGTGCAGTTAAACCTCAAATAAATAATCCCCTGAAACTGATATGTTTTCTAGGTAAAAATTCTTGCTTCAAAACTATCGTATATAATTCGCTGTTTATTTCGTTCTGTTCCGAATACGATGTCTTTGTTATCCTCGGACAAAAAACGAAATTTACCCTTTATTACATTAATCATTCCAATTATTTCAAGATGGTCGATAACTTTTAGCGCTTTTTTTATGAATTAAAGAAAATGTGCTACTGTTTGCGTTTTGGCCGGCCGTCTGTCCGGGTCCACTTCCGAGATCACCATTTATCATTTAATTTCTAACGCACGCGTACAACTCGCCGACATTCCCTTGCGTTGATTATTATGCTTTAAAACAGCCTTATGACCTATGTGCGCTAAGTTTTACTTTACTAGAGGCGTCTGTGGTTAAAATTTCAAAGAAATATCATCATTCATCATAAATAAACGTGTAAACAAATATAGCAAACGAGCTCCTGGGTACGGCTATAGCTTGTGTAAAACCAAATTTTGAAACTGGCGTTACATTTGCCTTTAGGCCAAGTGCCTACGTATCAAATTTCATTAAAATGCTTCCATAAATAAGAAAGTTAGCACTGCGCATGCGCAAAACCAAATTTTTAAACTCGTGTTACATTTGCTTTTATTCCAAGTGCCTATGTATCAAATTTAAGTCCTTTTATAAATAAGAAAGATTGCGATTCGGTTCAGAAACGGTCGAGATGCGAAAAGGGCATTGTGAATGTGAATCGATTACACTCAACTGTTGACATTGCGTATTATATGCCTCAAGCTATGTCCATATTGAATTTCATGCAATTCGGTTCATATCTAACGGAGATGTTAGAGGGGGGGGGGGGGGGCCATTTGAAAATATATTAGTTCAATTCATCACGTGCCGAAACCCTTAAAGGACTTATCAGTTTAGTTTCATTTTCAAAGGTTCTCCATATCTTTCTGACGCTCGTTAAGAATGATCCGAATATCGAAGCATGATTTCTGGAGTTTTTTTCCTCTTCCAGGTACATATTCCATTAGCATCTACAACGTTTCTAATCAACTTTTATTATAAACAACTTTTTGTACTTTCTATTTTTAGATTAATTGATTGGATCAAAGGTTCGATTATAATTGTTCGGCTGGAATTCTACCAGCAAAAGCGTGCCTTAATCAAAATTGCAACCTATTTGTCAAACTTCGAGTCAAAAATCTCAAAATATTTTGAACTACGACCAATCTCTTTGTCACGACCAAGAGGTAGTTTTTGATATTTTGTCCAAAACCATTTTTGTTCGAACCTAAATGCCTCGATATACGCTTCTTAGTACCAAAAACAGATTCCATTGCAAAAGCCATAATTCCATATGTTCTGATGTGCAAAGTAGTTTATTGATGTAAACGTTATTTGGATGGCAGGTTTATTTGAGTTTTTTTGCCATTTGTAATTGCAACAAATTTTGTATCATGCAAAACCGTGGAACCATTTATTTAGTATGCAAAGAGGGCAAGAGTATACTAAATATGATTTAATGTCCCATATTCTCTTTCATTTTGGAACTTATTCCAATTTGTTTCCGCGTTTCGTCGTAGTCTGTAAAAAGGCATGTAACGTTTTTACTTTAACGGTTGATTAATTGTTACGAGTTCAGTGAAGGGTGCGTTGATCTGCATGCAACCATGATGCTGCATTTTTAGCTTCACGAGAAAGATGAATAATTATTTTAAAAAAATCTTAAATGCAAATTTTAACCGAAATTTCCAGTTTTGCGAATGCTTATGAAGGAAGCGTAATTGAAATGTATTTATTCTCATGGAATTGTGCGGTGTAAATAAAAGTTCTTTATACTTGCGTGAGCAGCATGCTCGAAAAATTGCGTAATTTGATTAGCGAACCATTCTTCGGGTCTCGGGCACCGCACAATTTTTGCTTCCTGTGGATACCTACTGCATTATTAGATCCAATTGGAATTTCATTACATGAAAATATAGTTTTAGCCATCTAATCAGAAACTTCCACTTCCACCATAGCAAAACACAAAATATTTTGTGCGAACAACGAGCGAATGACGTAATTGTATTATGATGTACTTAATTATGCAGTAGGTATGTTGTATTGTATGGCGTAAAGCGAGACAAATTCCAGATTTCCGCGACACGAATTGATTTTAGAATTTAATAAATTTCGCTATATACCTACGCTTACTTCCATTCATTATAATCTACTCTTGAACATGAGACTTCTGGGGCTGCGATTTTGAATTAATGATAAATCGCTCTACGTTGATTGAACTTCATTCATCACCCTTCGCAACCATAAAGTCACTTTTGGGAATGGTAAGATTTGAGAATTTTAATCCGCCACTTCTTCATAACTAATACTCTTGGCTATGGTTTATTAACGAGCTCCTAGCGACTTTATCCGCCCGTCCGTCCGTCCGTTGGCAAAATAACTCATAAACGAATGGACCGATTACGATGAAATTTTGCAGGTGGATTCTTTATCAAATTTGTAGATCGGAGTTCGTGAATTGGCAATGTAGCCCAAAAAATAAAGTAGGCCCTTTTCACATCTCCGTTAGTTATGAACCAAATTGCATGAAATTCAATATGCGCATAGCTTTATTGGGTTCACGAAACGTCCGGTTAATTTACCTTGCAACGAGACATTGCATTAAATATTCCTCACGTTATCAGACGGTTATTCCACGTACTGAATATTTGCATGGTTTTTTCGCACTCGGTTATTTACAACTCTTCGATTTCGGATTGACGGACGGCCTTTTATCGCGAATTGAATGAACGTGGTTTACCCTCTGACGCCTGTGTCCGAAAAATTATTATTTCAGACCATGCACTTGGCGCTCTGGTGGTCCACAACACCAAGTATCTGTCATGGACGCGTCCCTACTCTTTTAATTTTAC